AGGTGGGGAACGTTGGAGTCCTCCGTCACTGAAGCAAGCAAGCCTCATGTTAGTTTCAAGCTGCCTGGCTGCCGGCCGCCATCTTGGCTGGCTGTTAATTTGCATATTGCCCTGATTAGCCAATGGGAAGGGTAGCGGTCGTACTCCAATTACCATGTTTCTCTTTTATTAGATAGGATACTTCAGTCAAAAGAGAAAAAGGCCCACAAACTATGATGTTTTCTTTTTTAATTGGGGGCGGGGGCTGCCTAACACTATAGTAACAAACAAGAAGATGGGATAAGACTTTAAGACAATCATGGATATGAAGTTCGCACCACCAGAGACTAAGCCAGCCTTACATCTTTCTTCACTGGCTTAACAGTTAAAAGATTACAATCTAAATCTTCTTGGTGTATGTGTGTGTGTGTGGTGACAGAAGGTTACTAGTCACGGTAATCACTTTGCAAGTATATATAGATATCAAATCACTATGTTGTAACTTGAAACTAATATAATACTGGATGTCAACTATACTTCGATTTCTTAAAGTATTAGAGATTAAAAATAAGTATTAGTGGTTAAAATATATTTTTCTTCTTCACAAAATGTAAATTAAAAAACTACAGAGAAAAGTTGTTTGTGTCAAAAGTTTGCAATAATGGGAACTTCATTGGCAGCAAAGTTGACCAGGCTTCAGAAATAACATGATGTTTCCAGAGTTTGACTAAGTATATAAAACTTCTTACCAACTGAAAAAAAAACAAAAACTTAAGGGAAAAGGGTACTCACTTTTCAATCTCAATGCCAAGTGGATTAGCAGGACGTAGGGACAAGGGAGGAATTCCTTTATTCCTGTCGGTACGCATATCATAGTAATTCATTTCATCAACCCACACAGCAGACTGGTCCAAAATACCTACCAAAATGAGGAGTACATCCTTAGTAAAATATAGACACCTCCAGGTACTTTCTACGTTTTTGCAAACTGCTTTAGTTTTTAAGGATCTAAGGTAATTTTTAAGAGATTTGAGGATAAAGAGGCTCTAATTTTTTTTTAAATGTCTGGTGGCTTAATTAAAAACACTAAAGTCCAAAAAATAAAATCAAACACTAAAATCTATTTTTAAAATGACAAAAATAATACCTATTGGCAAATTGTTTTGTTGTACATTACTTAATAGAAAAGACAAATTAAGACTCTGATAAAAAGTTCTGCTAAAATTAATGTATTTTACCAAAAAAGTACAATTAATTTGGTAAATTCTACAATATATACAACAATTCCTTATATTAAAAAACTACTCAAAACTCCTTCCAAGGAATACATAGCTTGTGTAATGGAACTGACTCAGATTTAGAAACTATGACTGAGCAGCATCTGTGAAAAAAATATGACCTCTGAAAATAGTTTTGTATCCTCTTCTGGGCTCTTTGTCATTCATCTTGGCATATAACTTACTAGTTTACCACCTCAGGACCTGCGTTACAAGAGAAAATGGGCAAAGTGCCAGTGAGCAGAGAAGAGCGGCTGAGGGCTGAGGCTTCATGAAGGAAGGATATTTGATGCCAGGCAACTTCTAGATGTATGACCCTTTGTGATCCACTAATTTTATCAGTACCCACATTTCTTCCACAATCCAACAGGAGACTCTATGAGAGGTTATACTCAAGTCCAGATACTTCAAGTTCAGTTAGATAAGCCTCTATTGAGCCTACACTATGCTAGGCTCTGACGAGAAAAATCAGAATAAAATTAGTAATTTCAATAAGTTTTCTTTGTCTGCTGTATAAAAAATCACATAAAATGATGCTGGATTCTGTCAAAATGTTTAAAGTTCCTCACTTAACTTCACAGTTCCATTTTTAAAAATGTAATAGAAAAATGAGTAAATAAAAACAGTGATATTATACATATATTAGAGATGCATGCATGAAATTCATGCACATGGGTGGGAGGGTCCCCTCAGCTCAGCCTGCACCCTCTCCAATACATGCCCCCCAGGGATCGGGCCTAAACCGGCAGTCTGACATCCCTCTCACAATCCTGGCTTGCTGGCTCCTAATCGCTCACCTGCCTACCTACCTTGTCACCCCTAACTGCCCCCCTGCCAGCCTGATCGCCCCTCACTGACTGTGTGCCAGCCTAGTCACCCCTAACTGCCCCCTGCTGCCAGCCAGGCTGCCCCCAACTGCCCTCTGCCGGTCTGGTCGCCCCCAACTGCACCCCTGCTGGCCTAGTCACCCCCAACTGACCCCCTGCCAGCCTGGTCACCTTGCACGAACCCCCGCCAGCCCGGTCACCCCATGCAGTCTGCTTGTTCAGTCGTCTCTCACTAACACCCCTGCCAGCTCCCCTGCCGGCCTGGTTGCCCCCAACTGCCCTCTGCCGGTCTGGTCGCCCCCAACTGCACCCCCCATACCGACCTGGTCACCCCTAACTTCCCCCCCACCAGCCTGGTCACCTCTTATTGACCCCTCTGCTGGCTTGTCACCCCCAACTGCCCACCTCTATTCCTGCTTGTTCAGTCGTTTGGTGGTCCCTCACTAATGTCCCTGTTGGCCTGGTCATAGGCAGCCATACTGTGAGGGCGTGAGGGTTAATTTGCATATTACCTCTTTATTATATAGGATATACATATGTATGCATGTACATATGTAAATTCCATTTTCAATTTCCCCTAAATTCCTTAAATTTCTATTTATAAAAAATATCTAGGAATTTAAGGAAGATATTGCTGCAGAAAAACTCTATACCCTCAGATAGAAAACAAAAACAATTTATAAAATTACTTACTTTTCTATACCAAAAGTACAGCCTGAGTTTAATTTAATTGCACCACTGATATTCCTACATTATACAAATACTAGAGGCCCAGTGCACAGATTCGTGCACCGGTGGGGTCCCTCGGCCTGGCCTGCGGGGACTGTACGAAACTGGCAGTCCTACATCCCCTGAGGGATGTACTAGTGTGCAAAGCGGCAGCCAGCCAGGGAAGAGCCCGAGCCAAGCTGGGCGCAGCGCCGCTCCTGCTCATCCCAGCCCCAACTGCGCCTGCCGCTACCATCGCTCTGTAGACTTGCTACCACTCCACTGCGGTCTTCGTGTGCCCGCCCTAGGGCGGTACCCATGCACCCATGAGTGAAAAGCAGCCACAGGCTCACACCCAGTCAGTCCCAATCCTGGTCCGTATGGGGGAGGGGCATGTAGGAGGAGTGTCCACAGGAGAGGCTCGCACTGCCGCAGCGGCGCTCCCATTGTGGGAGAGCACTCACCACCAGGGGGAAGCTTCTGCATTGAGCGCGTCTGCCCACTGGCAGTAAGTGCATGTCATAGCTATAGGTCGAGCGGTCGTTTAGGTTTTTATCTATACACTAGAGGCCCGAGGCACTAAATCAGTGCAAGAGTAGGCCTTCCTTACCTGACTACCATTACCAGCTTCCCTCTGGCAACTGGGACCGAGGCTTCTCTCCAGCACCTGGGACCTGGGCTTCCCTCCAGCTGCTGGCAGAAACCCACGACCCAGGCTTCCCTCGCAGCCCTGACTTTCTCTGAAAGGACGTCCAGTCTAATTATCATACTATGCTTTTATTATTATAGACATAAAAGGCTAATATGCAAAGTGTCCACTCAGGAGTTCAACCAGGAGATGGGGAGTTTGTTCGCTTGCTATGATGTGCACTGACCACTAGGGGGTGGCGCAGAATGAAGGAAGGCCCCGGCCAGCAGCTGGAAGGCCCCAATTGGCCCTGATCACCAGCCAGGCCTAGGGAACCTACCCATGAGTGAATTTTGTGCACCAGGCTGGTAGTATATATAGATTAATTAAGTACTAACCAAGTGCAAGATAGTATAGAACCAAAAAATAAATAAATATGACTATTATTTTAAGAGAGGGGATGGCCATGCTTAGCAATAGCTATGAGAAAAATAAAAAGTATTGGTTAGCAGCATGGCAGCCAATACATGACGGTCAAGGTCTCTCCCCTTAAAGTTATAAATTGGACAGCTATAATTCAACAAAGGATTGATTCCCTGATAACACAGAAACACATTGTGCATTGAGATATCTAAAGGAGGGTGCATCTCAGTTAACAATGGAGACAGGAGAGGGAGGGGACAAGACAGAGATGGAAGTTCTGGGCACTACTTGTGGAGGCTTTTTAACAGTGAAGGGGTGAAATACTATCACCACTGGACAAAGAGGAAGGGCAGACACAGCAATGGGGCCTCAGTAGCTGACAGACATTGAGGCTAGGCCCAGAGTCAGGGGCAGAGAAACTGTGCAAAGTCAAAGAACACCACAGCCAGCCAGTACCAGACAAAGGATTTCTCATATGCGGGAACCTGCCCAAACCTGTGGCCTGCCTGACAGGCAGAAATCCTTACTTGGAAGATCTTTAAAGGGCTGAAAAAACTTCCAGAGTAAGTGGTCTGTACTCATTGTAGCTAGTTACACAAGGAAGAGCTGAACCTTGGATTCATGAAACCACTTCCCCACCAAACCCTCTTGCACCCATCTCTATACAAATAGGTCCTAGGTTGAGGCAGCTGGGGTCAACTCAGACAGAACAGCTTGACTGGCAGCTTCTGGCTTCCTGAATGAAGCACTGAGAACATTCAGAAGACCCACAGCCCACCACTTTGAATCCATGGGAGTGCTGCCCCAAGACTCAGGTTCGGCAAGGTTACCCCACCTCCTCAAGAAATACCAGGAATATTCCATGGCCCAGGCTATAATGCTGCACAAAGATCCTAAAAGCTCCAGCAGTGCAGAGAAAATAAAAACTTGTGCTTTAGCACCACCTACTGTAAAACAAAAGAAAGAAATCTACTTATCAACCTGCTAAACACTGATGTCAAATACTTTTTTTAAAAGTTTTCATTCCCACAAATGCGCAGGCAGAGAATCATCCATCAAGTACAAGGAATAACCAAGGTAATAAGGGAGGTCAGAAAGAAAATTAAAAATCTCCAGAAAATAAACTTAAGACAGGAAACACTGTGATTTAAATAACAGAGAATTCAAGATTGCAGTTCTAAAAGAACTCAAGGATAAGAAAACTCAGAAAAGCAATTCAGTGATCTCAGAAATAAAATATATGAACAAAAGAAATATTCACCAAAGAGACTGAAACTAAAAGAGAACAAAACATAAATTCTGCAGCTGAAGAAATCATAAAAACAAAGAATAATGAACTAGCAAGGTTAGGCAATATAGCTGACCAGACAGAGGAGTGAATTACTGATACAGAAAACAGTAATCTAGAGACCTGGACAGGTGTGGAAGGACACACTTAACATTGAATCTGAGGGGCCCTTTATTCTTGTGGGAACATGTGTTGGTAAGCAGAAAGGGGGCTAGACAGTAGGTCCAGGAGGGAGATCAGCCCTTCCAACCTGGAACACAGGGGAGGTCCCTCTATCCTACCAGAAAAAAAGCTACTTCTGACCCAATCTGCAGCAAGGGAGAACAGTCCAAGGAAGGAAATCTGTGCCCCTTCAATTGACAGAGAGGAGGTGCCAGCAAACCAGACAGAGCAGAGGCATTAGAAAGAGAGGAAGTGCCCAGCACTCCATCCTACAAGGTACTGGTACCCTCCAACACAAATCCAGCCAAGACCAGGATACCTCCACAGAGCCCAGCTCCCTGGGGAAAGGGAGTATAGTTCAGAGCAGGGATAATTAAGGCATACGATTGGAGGCAGATCCAGCCTCTGGGCTAATGAGTCACTGCCCACTGGACTACTAAGGGCTTCAAACTTCAGACCTCAATCAGGTTGCTCAGGGACAGAAAGGGACAGTGACCTACACCATAGGGACCAGGTTAGACACACCAAGGGACCAGATTCAATATCACAGCAGTGTGTGAATGTGTGTGGTTTTGTTTTTTGGTTTGTAAGTGGACTTTTTGTTTT